CAGGTACAGTTTCTGGAGGAGCTGATGAACTCACAGAGCTGGGTGCACCTCTGAAAGGATCTTGTGGACTCCGACATGGCGCCGAACCAATATACGCTGTTTCTCAGCGTTCCTAAAGCATTTAAAGAATTCGCGTCTATTGAGGAGTGAATTTAACGCACGAACAAAGCGAGTAAAAGCAAGTGCTCATGGGTCTGTTTATAAATCATGCTATTCGTGCGTGCAGCGTCTGGTATCAACACAGCCTTAGGCTTTGATCCTAAATGTGTTGTTTTGGTGACTGTCGCTTTAAATTTAAATGAGATTGTGCTCTTTTTTAAAAGAGGGCGAAGCTACAAATGCCTGTGTGTCAGCATAGTGGCAGATTCAAAAACAAGATTGATGTCCTATGCTAATGAGGGAGAGATGGTCACTAGTGGGCGGGGCTTTCTTCTTCTGATGACACGTACAAAGGGAAGATGTCGATCAAAGTGTTTCTGCAGACTGTTTTATCAAGTCTGATAATACAGTCAAAATACGGTCAACTATTTGGTAGAGCAAGTAGGTAATTGGATATTAGAAGCTGGTTATTTTTAACAGACTGTTGCCACTCATCTGTTTTTAAACCCCTTTTAAAAGTGATTATTGCATAATAGGTCCCCTTTAAAAAAAAGTTAGTTTATGCTTTAAACAGGAATAAACATCCATCAAGTTGTTTTTTATTAAACTTACTTAATTTACATAAATAAAAGGTAATATCTTAGGTAATTTTGAATCTAAATATAAAAATGCTTAGGCAAAAAAAGACACAAATACTTGAAAAGGAAATTTGATGTGAACATTTCACAAAATAAAAAGAACAAAGCATTAAAAATAGGTATTTCAATGCAAAAAAAAAAAAAAAAACTACTTATTTTTTCCTTCAAATTTCAGGGTGAAATAAGCACCAGAGACTCGTCTTCATGAGATTCGACCCTCACATGTGCGTTAGTCTTTTCATTTGGATTCTTGATGCAAGACAGAAAATACACAAACCCCAAATCAGTCAGCGAACCACGGCGGTCCTGTGTGTGTCTACAGTAAACCAAAAATAAAATTAAACACTTCCTATATTCCCCCTTGTCTCCTAAAATTCATATGCCGTTTACAAGATTACAAGTAGCTTATTGATACCTAGATGACTGGCTTGAGTTAAATCAATATCAATGCACACAGTCGTCAAAGCCACATAATAGCTAGATAATATACCGGTAAAAGATTTGACCAGCGTCCTCCGCAAAACAAATTTGCTAAATAGAACGACTTGCAAAAAAACAACCACGGCAAAACAGCCTATATACTTGTTGTTTTGTTTTTAAAAATTTCGTCTCATGCTTGATTTTTTTTTAGTTTGTTTTGTTTTTCAACATCTCACATTGTCTATTTAAGGAAGCGGAAGTTTGCAGGGCGATAAAACAACACGGGTTTTTTCGCTACACAGGTCTTTCTTTCTATCAAGGTTATTCGTCAAACTCGCAGGGGGTTTCCAAGGCCACTATTTTCTCCCAAAAACCTGATTCTACCAGGCCAGCTCTCACAAGGAAATGCAACTATTTTACGTTTAGTGACTAATTCGGACAAATTCATATGAGCCTCGGTATCACCATGCAGCCCAAGATCGGTTAATCACTAAAGCTAAGCAGGGCTGAGTCTGGTCAGTACCTGGATTGGAGACCACATGGGAAAACTAGGTTGCTGTTGGAAGTGGTGTTTCAGAGAAGCCAGCAGGGGGAGCTCAACTTGCAGTCTGTGTGAGTCCTAATACCCCAGTATAGCGAAGAGGACACTATACTGTCAGTGAGCACTGTCTTTTAGGTGAGACGTTAATCCGTAGTCCTGACTTCTCAAAATGGCCCTCCAATCATCACCATCCACTGAACTGGCTCTATTACTGTCTCTCAACTTCACCAATAGCTGGTGTGTGATGAGCGCACTGGCGCTGTTGTCCTGTGGCTGCCGTCGCATCATCCAGGTAGATGCAGCACACTGGTGGTGGTGTGCGAGACCCCCCTCATGATTGTGCAGCGCTTTGGGTGTTTGACCATACACAATAAATGCGCTATATAAATACACATTACATTTTTAAAAAGAGGCGTGGCAGCAAACCCCGCCCCTAAATCCAACCGCCAATGGGAGATTAGCATATCGTACTAAATTGTACATATGAGATTCATACGAATTAGTCACTAAATTTAAAGAATAGTTACGAATTGCCGCGAGATAGCGTTGGATTCTAGGAATCATTCTAGCAAAAAAGTGTTCAGCTAACATTCAAAATCCTCCACAACCCACGTCACTTTTTACATACTCCTTTACCGTTTTTGTTTAGTATTTTTAAAGCAATCGCCTTAAAACAGTGCAAAATGAAAGTAATCCTGTGCAACAGATCTACGGCTAAAAACAAAACCTCATTCGTGAAAAAGAAGTTCACTGCAAAAAGCATTCTTAGCGTTTTTGTCTCTTTTAGGACAAACATCTAAACGTTTACATCTTGATGTATTCACTCGAGAAGCAAAATTTTAAGAGTTTAAGTCTCGTTTAATGACTAATTTTATTTATTATTAAAGTTAACTTCAAACAAGCTTTTCTTGCATAGAGTGTAAATATCGTTTACTTTGTTTTAGAAATAGTAGCAGGGTGGCTCACTATCGCACTATCCAACCCAAGCTCATTCTGAAAACGTAGTCATGCGGACGTTTCTGGAGACAGCGGAATACGTCCCAGGAGGTACGTACGGCTGCATTAATTTTTTTCAAGCGAACGCTGCGGGGCGGTGTGACGCTGTTCCCTATCGTGCTTGCCGGCCGGCCAGCCGACTGCTTACCTCCTTGTAGAGGGCTTCCCCGCTGCAACCCGTTTGTCCACTCAGCTCACCGTGTACATCGGCAGGCTCGAGATGCAGAGAGGAGTTAACCACGGCGATTGGTTTTGAGTCCAGGGAAGAGCGGTTCCAGCTATCAGGTAAGACAAAAACAGAATCCCAAAAATTAAGTGAACGAGTTTCGTAACAGGGTGAGAACGCGGCGAAATCCAAAAACGCGGTAGAAAAAAAAAAAAAAAAAAAAAAATCAGGGCTTTTCTTTTTTTGGACGGATTATGTAAACTGTTGCTCTGGTTTAGGGAAGCGAGCTGGCGGGTGGGTCAATCGTCAAAATTAGTTGGGTTTAGAGAAGGAGGAGGGCGGGTCAGCCGATTGGCCGGTCGTGCACTCAATCATCCAGTTAGTCGGACAGTGGCCTCTGGTGGGTTCACGCGAGAACAGCGCGGGCGCGAACTGCACTCGCGAGAGGCGTTTGAGGTGCGAAAAAGCACACAACAGCGGCCTCTCGCGGATTCGCAAAAACAAAAACTGCAGCCGTATGCACCCGCCGGGATGTATTCCGCTGTCTCCAGAAACATCCGCGGGACTACATTTCCACAATGAGCCTGGGTTGGTACTATTAGCAAAGAGCTTAGAATGACCAAGAGGCGACACTCAATAGAACGTTCCATTGCAACAGCAGCGCCCAGCAACAGCCACGGATTCCGCCATTGTGGAGTGAAAGCGGTCGGCCGTCCATTGGATCTTAATGCTGTCGCGATGGCAAGCAGCTGCTTTGTTTTTAATTATTTATTTAAAACGTCCATTAAAGCTGAGATACAACCTGAAAGATGACAATACGCTTACTATCACAATCATCAGCACTTTTAATAGTTTATTTTACAGACTTATAATATGCTGTTGTTCTATTGGAGTTTTCATTTCAAAGTCGCCGCCGCGCCCTCTAGTGGCTGTTTTCCAAATTGCATTAGAGTGTCGCCTCTTGGTGATTCTATGCTCTTTGCTATCGGTGGTTAGCACCATCGCCTCACAGCAAGAAGGTCGCTTGTTCAAGTCCCGACTGGGCCAGTAGGCATTTCTGTGTGCATGTTCTCTTCGTGTTGGTGTGGGTTTCCTCCAAGTGCTCCGGTTTCCCGCACAGCCCAAACACATGCGCTATAGGTGAATTGAATAAACTATTGTAAATTGGTCAGAGTGTATGAGTGAATGTGTATGGGTGTTTCCCAGTATTGGGTTGCGGCTGGAGTAGTTGGCGGTACATTTCGCTGTGGCGACCACTGATAAATAAGAGAATAAGCCGAAGGAAAATGAATGAATGTTTCACAAATAGTAAGTCAAAATTAAGTGACTTTTTACCTTAAAACAAGGTAAATAATCTCCCAACGGGCTAAGCAAAATAATCTTACCTCAAACCGAACACAATATTGCTTTCCTTGCACATCTGTCAGATTATTTTGCTTTAAGAGGAAAAAAAAGTCACTTGAGTTTGACTAATTACTTCTGAAAAATAAATAATATTTGTAATTTTGACTAGTAGTTCCATTTTGACTGAGAATTTGTGAATATTTGGACAATATACAAGTTGAAAACTCTAAGAAAAACATGTTTATTCAGTGTTCTTGCTGTGATGAAAATGTCAGAGGCAAATAATCTTATTTCTAAAATTATTTTCATCACTCCAATGCAAAATATGATACTTTCAAAGCCTTCAATCACTTTCCTCTGGCTTAGTCCTTTTATTTATCAGAAGTCACCACGGTGGAATGAACCACCAACTATTCCATTGTATGTTTTACGCAGCAGATGCCCTTCCAGCCACAACCCAGTACTGGGAAACATCCACACACACTCATTAACACATACAAACACACTCATACACTACGGCCAATTTAGTTCATCAATTCCCCTATAGCACACGTGTTTGGACTGTGGAAGAAACTGGAACACCCAGAGGAAACCCACCGCAACATGAGGAGAACATGCAAACTCCACAGAGAAATGCCAACTGGCCTAGCCGGGACTCAAACCAGCCACCTTCTTTCTGTGAGGCGTCAGTGCTAACCACTGAGCCACCATGTTTTCATTGCATTTCTTTAAAAAAAATCTAGTTTAATATATATTTTCTGTTTTGCTTCACAAATGAACACATCTGGACGTCAAAAAGTTTGGATATTTTGTTCTGGAAAATGACAAAAACGTTAAAAGCAGCAGATTATTATTCTTGTCGTTGCTCTTTTTCGCAGTGTAAGTGAATCATTCATTTACAATCAAACGATTCTATTTGCATTTCACAAACGAAGCCTATATTACACATACATTAACACGTGGTTTATAAAAAATGCGACTTCAAGAGAAAGGTAATAATAATAATAATAACAATAATGCATAATATTAAGGACACTATAACACATTATAAACATGGCCCGAGAGCCGAGACGGAACGAGAACAGAAAACTCAGGAGATCCCACTGAACTTCATGAAGATCCAGACCACTTCAAGCTGAACACACACACACACACACACGCACACACACACTTGAGTGTGTGTGACTGTCTGAGGCTCCTGTAGCCATCTGCTGTCTGTGTGTTTGTGTGAATGTGAATGTGAATGTGTGTGTGTGTGTGTGTGTGTGTGTGTGTGTGTGTGTGTGTGTATGTAAGCAAAATGAAGTCATTCTGTATATGTGATGCTGCTCATAAATGGCCACATCAAGAAAATCGAGCTAATATGAATCACAAATCTGATTCTGAAAATAACTGTCATCATCATTAAAAGTATGTATTAATACATTGTTTATGATTTATATGTGGAATTATTTGCTTAACTGTGATGAAAACATCAACAGAAAGCTAGCAATATTAAAAATGTGTCAACAATTCTCTAAATTAGCATAGCTACAATATTTGGATGTATTTGTGACGCTGCTCATTGTAAAGAAAAGCTTCCAGGATGGATTCAAGATTTGTTTTGCGAGCACGACCAGAGAAGATTTGACAAATAAATGAATAAAAACAAGAAACATGAATTCTGATTTTGCTTTAAAAAAATGAAGCCTATTTCAGGTCTCTTCAGACCGTTATTATCGTGAATATTAAACACATCAGAAACGCTAATTACACAATGTTTAATGCAAAATGCTAACAGAGTCCTAAACTATCAACTGAATAGCAAAAAGTCTTTAAATTAATAAAATAAAAATGCTCAATGAAGAAGATGACTATGTGATGATAATATTTTTAAGATATATATATATATATATACATATATATATATATATATATATATATATATATATATATATATATATATATATATATATATATATATATATATATGTATATATATATATA